CCCTTCTCCTGTGTTGCTGAAAGTAATCCTTGGTGTTTATTGCACTGTAGGTGCTTAAGTGTCATGAAAACCTGGCTTTGAAATATTTTATGATTTATTTTAAAGAATTTAACTGGATCACTGAAACACTGTTTAGTCTAATAGCCTACGTATTTCAGTCTGACAGATTCCCATTACGTACTCTAAATACTCTGTTTAGAAAAAAGCACCTAGCCACTACAGGTAATGAAGATGATGGAGATAACTGGGAAGAGAAGGAAACAGAGGTATTCAAGATCCCATCTCTGCATTGAAAGGCAGCTCTTTATTGCCAAGTGAAAGCATTTGGCGGTAAAGTAACCGCCCTTAACTCTCCAAAACAAGAATAAAACAAGCTCTCACCCAGGAAGGATATCATTGCCATTCTAGTCACCTGGAGGGTGAAGTGCTTGTGGATTTAGCATTACTAAAGGAACAAACAGACCAACGTGCAACGAACAAGTGAAACTGGCAGCTCAATTTACAATTACCAAGCTACTGCAGTACTGAAGACTTATTTCAGAGGAAGGTTGAAGCAGCACTGGCAAACTAATAAGGAGCTGTAATACGGGCATAATTGGAAAGAAATTTCAGCAACCAAAAGACTCAGATTCATAAAAGGCTAAAATAAAAGAGCATGCCTTGGTACATTTGGTGGGAATAGGTGTGTATATTAAAAGTAATTTCAGTATCAGAAAACTTAATTATCTTATGGCAGTGCTCATCTTGGAGAAAGAAGCAATATCTCACACAAAAGCAAGTGCCTTTACTTTGATCTGGGGAAGCATCAAGGCAACTATGATATAGCAGTGAAGAAGCTTCATCCTTTCCCTCTCCACTGCCATGTGTAGCACACTGAAAATAGGACTGACGTAGCTGTTTTTATGTGGTGTCTTGTTTTAATTCTGTGGACTATTTTTCAAGACTATGAAAAGTAACAGAATTTTCAGCACCTCTGCATTAGGAAACATTATCTTCCTCTCATCCTCACAATAATCTCCAGATATGGGATGCATTTGAAGCAACTCCTATGTTGCTTCTGTATCATCAGCTTCGAACCATGATGAACTACCAGAAGAGAAAATCTCAGCACAAGGCAGCTTACTTTTCTGAGTTAAGAAGAAAGTGCCATTTCACAAAAAGAAAAGCCCACAACCCAGTTAGGTTCAAACCTGTTTTTACTGTGCCAAGTCAGAAAGCCTCAGCAATCCACACAAGTATTTTTTCCTGCAGAGCCCTAGCTCTCATCTCAGACAAGAACTAGCTCCTTCTGAACCTTTATTTTTAAATAGCATATAAGCAAGCCAGTAAAGTAATGTGCACTGGAGAATCTCAGAAAACAAACAAAAGTCTAACAAAGCACTGTGTGTGTTTCAAGTCATGTTCATACTAGATTTAAGCCCACATGGGGCCTTTTGTAGTCCACACAACTCACATTAAAGAGCATTTCTCCATGGAAAAATGAAGAGAAAATCTGCTTACAACAGCTTAGGGGGTAAGAGAGATACTCATTTAAGATTTCTCCATAACTAAAGAGTGCATTGAAAACAAATGGTTTCTGTTAATTGCAAACTTGCATTGAATTTTAACAGCAGTTTGTCACTGTTAGTTTTGTTGTTATAATTTAAAAAATAAAATAAAATTTTCTTCTCACTTGAGATTAAGTCCTTTTGCAGGCAGTACTAGCTTAACAGGGCACAAATAAAGCATGCTTCTTCCTGTTGTTCTATTAGCACTGGACTATCTGTAGGTGTTCAAATGTTTACTATCCAGTCAGTGTGGACTTGGTTTCATTTAGCCAGTCATTTCATTGGTAGCACAGCTATCCTGATGGCAGTTTGTAAATTTCCAGAGGCATCAGGCACATATCCCACCTGGCATTCAAGTCTGGTCTGCATCCTCTGCTGCCGGTTAAATATGCCAACCCCTCACACTGCTCTTGTGCATTTGCATGGCAAACATCAGAGAAGTCCATCGGCTTATTTCTTCAGCTTTTTTTGACAGCAGAGACTATATGAAGAAGCTACATATGGCATTTGAAGATCTTTTTAGTTGTGTTTCCCAGGGTGACATCTGTCCTCATCACAGAATTCTTACAGTGTCTAGTGGCCATACTTCTAAGTGCTCTAGTAGAGTGCAATCTGTTTGTGCAAGTCAGCCTGATGGTTGCCTCTCAGCTGCATTATGAATAACTCCTTCAATTCAATTGCACCAGTATACTAAGATTTCCCACTTTTGAGGACTTGGAGAGTTTGCTTGTATTGAGCTGCAGTGTCTTACAATTCTGTGTTTCTTGTTATGCTTACATTACTGAGAAACTCTTGGGTACATTGATACCAAAAGCTGATTCATCTCAGTAACATTGCTTTGTCATGCTGTGGTGGTTCAGGAATCTTATCAGCCTCATTTAATCACCTGCAACGATATGGAGAGACACGCTTCTATTCTGGGCCCAGTCTAGCATGTGCAATGAATTCTGCTTCAAACTGTGCTTGGCTAAGGACTGCTGGATTAAGCAGGGCATCTTCAGCAGTCACACTCTCTCTGCAGGCTGGCACCCCAGCACACTGGAAGTACAGGACATCCTGGGGGGCATAATTTGCAACCTCTGAAAGCAGTCAGACAATGTCAGAAAGATTTCAACTTTAAACCTATTGATAGCTTACTGAGGTATATTTAGACATATGCATGTTTTTTAAAGCTAAGTTTATGGCAAGAGAAAGCAACAGAGAATGTGAACTAGTTCAAAATTTGGGAAGTAAATAATGATAGAGAATACAATTTGGGCTTCCTAGGAAAGTTTAGAGAATGTTTAACAGCAAAAATATAACCCTCAGAGCCACCCTGGGAAAGATGTAAAAGTAGAAAAAAAATTAATTAAAAGTGAAGATCTTTAGCACTTCCAGAACACACTCAGTACATTTAAGTAATTTGGAGTTGTGGGATATGTGCTTAAAGTCCTGTTCACTTGCCACTTAAGCCATCTCTACAAAAAGCTTGCCTGACTCTTTTTCATTTTGATTTATTCCAGGACAATGACCTGTTGCAATGAGATGATATCCACAGCTTCCCTCCCAACCTTAAGTTTCTCCCATACCATTCCCATAATCCTTTCTCCCCCACTCTTAAGATTAAAAAAAGAAACAAGTACTCTTGGTAGACTTCTTTGAATGCCAGGCTTTGGCTGGCTAAAAAAATTAATTCCAGGCAAGTTATCAGAGATTTAGGAGGAAATCTTCTATCCTAAAATCTATACAAAGTATTGCAGTGCTATAAGGTCAGAGCATACATGGTGGAGAGGGGGGTAAGGACAGGGGTACACAAATTCTTCATATTTAGCTTGCTGATCTATCTCAGTCTTCTACCCCAAATCATCTTAACTAATTTGTAATGCACAAGAAAATCCTCTTTTCTTTATGAATGCTTTCAAACAATCCTAGGTAAATATATAAACAACTGTCAAACCTTACAATTGCACTTTATTTAGGTCTCTTTCTATTACATTAATAAGCTCCACAAAAGGATAACAATTCTGAAATCTGCTTTAGGATTTCATTTGTATTTACTTTCCATTTAAATTTTTCTGCTGTTAATGACCATGTCACACTAAGGTTTAATCAGCTAGATCTTGATGATACAACAAGTACCACCATAAGCAATTACCTGCTACACCCTCCCCTGCATAGCCAGTTTTTCCCATCAGCTAAAAACTCCAAATCTATCCTGAAAATCAAAAAAACCAGCACAAATAAAACATTTTCCTTTGGGGAGAGCTGGGTCAGCTACAGAAATAAATAAATCAAAATTCATTACATCAAAACAGCTCCAATAAGATTTTTTTTTCCTTTTAAAGGAGAAGAAATTAATTTAAACCACTCTTTAGAAAACAAAGCAGAAGAGAAATGTACCCTTCCCTTCTCCCTGCCCAGCTCCCACTCTCTGAATCCTTCCTCCTGGCACGTACTTTTTGGGTTCAGCCGTAAGCATCTCCCTTCCCTCCGTACATCTGCTCTGTGCAGGACTGCCGAGCTGCAACTCATGACGAGGAGCATCTGAAATCCCAGGGTTTAAAAAGCCACTCGCAAGCAAGCCCTCCTCTGCTCCCAGCCTGACAGCTCTGGGAGCATATTGAACCGCAGCACTAACCAACAGCAAATCACTGATCCCGTTATTCAGCCTGACTGGTCCCACCACAAATGTTTCAAGTGCAAAAAGATTACTTAAAAAAAAAAAAATCCCACAACACCCTTTTTGTTTTGTTATTATTGCATATATTTTATATTTTTTTTAAGGAGGAATACCCAGAGGAGTTTGTTTCCAGGGCATCCCAGCTGGCTACTTCTGCCCAGCACAACCCAGCAGCACCTCAAGCCCCCAAGGGTACCACCACCGAGGCTGGGCATCCTCAGGCAGTCAGTGCCCTGGCACTCTGTCTGCTCCGTACCTGCTCCCTGCAGTCTTGGGTGGGCAGCCAGGGAGGGAGGGTGAATCTTGCATGTCCCTCACAGCGAGTCACACCACTGTCCTCTTATGCTTTTGCTGCCAGGAGCCTGGCTCTGCCTTCCCCATAACCCCCCTCTAGGTGGCTGAAAACAACAGCCAAGCCCCCCGCCCCCCCCCCCCCCCCCGCCACCCCGTTCACCCCCCCGCCTCTCCTGGCTGGTCAAACCCAGCTCTGGCTTTCACTTTGCATGCCCTGTGCTCCATCCCTAAGGCCCACGAACCCCCAAGGCTAGGTTAGGGTGGCTCTGCCCTGCTGCCAATGGGAGCAGCCACACGTCTGAGCCCTCAGCTGAGTTTCTTGCGGGACTGTCAAGGAGCAGGGACTGGGTATAAAAACAGAAACTCACCCTGGAGTTATCAAAATTTCATCTGCAGCATGTGCCTCAACATTCAAGCATCTGCTGTCCTGGAGACACTTGAATAACCACAAAAAGTAAAGTGAAGGGCACCAATTGGGGCACAGGAAATTTCTTACTTACAGCATCTTGTTGGTGTCATGTTTGTAAAGCTGAGCTCTCCAGAGGCACTGAAACGTGATGAAAAGAGCAGGGATCTGATGGCAGGCATGCTCTCCAACAGCCTCTTTCTCTTGCAGTCTGGCCAGAAAGACATCACAAAAACAGATACATTTTTATCCCTATTTTTTCTTTCCAATGCATTGACAATATTTTCAACATGACTGATTTCAGCGCTCCTCTTTTAAAAGACATGAATGGAGAGGATTTGTGAGACTGAGCTTTGTCTGGAGAAAAAGGGCTCAAAGTAGTAGAGTGTGGAGTAGAAATAGCAAATTAAACATGGTACTCCTCCTGTATCTGGGACATGACAGTGGTCACAGCTTAACAATATTTCTGCCCCCAGATTAGCTCTTTTAACTGATGTTTTTAAAGATGATAGGAAAGAAACTACAGACATAAAACTTACAAATATGGCAAACATATACCCCACAGATAATCTGCAAAATGCTGAAGAATACAGCAGAACATCCTAAACTGCAGGCCTAGATCTCAAAAAAGAGCTTGCTTTGGCATTTAATATACTAAAGACGCGATGGACATGTTATCATAAAATGAATAATCTGCCAGAACAGGAAAAATAAAAGTGCTTCAGTGAAAATACAATATGCTGTTATGCATTGTACTATAAAAGCCAAAATTATTATATCATCGTCAAACAAATGTTCAGACATTGGTACTGTCTGTTGATCATTATTACTTCATCCTTGGCTTTCATTCCTTATTGAACCACCTTATTTCCTTTCAGTTATCTGACTTCACAAATCAAGTCAACTTCCCTCCTGTGAAGATGATAAGTAAAACACAGTATCGGTATTAGCTGCTGTCTCTCACAGTCAATTGTACCTTGGTTTATCATGCTTTATTTTTCAGGTCAGCCTTTTGACTTGATCTCTGTGATCTGGGAGTTGCAGATACGTTTGGAAGCAAGCTGCATTTTTCTTTCCTTTGCTTTATATGCTCCAAGCTCTAACCCACCAAATGATACATATTTCAGACATCATAACAGTTACATAGCTTTTTCCTTCTTCGTTCATTGCATCTATTACCTAAATGATATGATGCATTAGATTACCTTTATCGCCCTTAAAAATATGATTGATGTCCTATATGTATCACAAGACATCAAGTATTTGCTAACCTTGCAACTTTTTCCATAAAAACTGGATTTCAGAGGACAATTTATACGCAGTTTCAGAAGTATTATACACTGTCTTTGCAGTCTCAGAACCTGTAGATTCATAATTTCTTGGCTGATAACGTATTTTATCACTAATACATTTTAAATTTTTGTTAAGGCAACAGAGGTCACATGAGTAATGATCAGCCCTCTAATATCCACAGATGGGTTCCCTTTTTTCCTCTAATTACAGAAATGTGAAATGCTGCTCTCTGAAACGAGAGACCTGATGAACTCTTCAGATGTACTTTCTGAGGAACTGCTTGCTTTGCTCGTGTTGTTGTTCACTCCTACATCTGCAAGCTGGAGCTGAAACTTCTCTGAGGTCAGGCCACCACACACAATACCTTGCAGAGCTGGACTCAAAATGAACCCCATTTTGTGTGAGGTATTCGAATTAAAGCTAAGAATCGAATATGAAGGGAAAGTTAAATGCCAACTAAAGCAAACTTCTGCAAGTTTCAGATGTGTTTAGACTGACAGGGTTTTGGTTGATGATTTGAGTTGGCTTCATGAATGACAGAGTTTAGGTGCAATTAAGCCTCCAGCTAGCAGCTTATTGGGCTCCTGTTTCACACATCTCTCTTCCCTGCGCTTACACCAGGATTAGTTCTTCATCAGGCCTTTCTATTTCAGCTGTTTGTAATTAATCCTGGGACATAGGAAAATACAGTTAATCATTCAAGTGAATAAAACCAGACAAAGTATTTGGACTCACTGAGCATTATGAACTGCATTTGCATGCTTAAACTCATTATGTGTTTGAATAAAAAGCACTGAAAATCAGTACTTTAGTCACTGGAAACGGATCACTCAAGTAACTAAAGAAGTAGGTAAGGTCAAGATCCTAGGCTGAGGAACTAATGGCAGTAGCTCCATGTGAAGAATTAAAGAAAACAACAGATCACTGAACAAAATGGAGGAGAAAGTATACTTTAAAAAAGAAGAAAAAGAAAAAAAAAAGAAAATGGAGCAGAGCAGTTTAGGATGAATAATAGCACTTTACATGTCTATGACACCTTCCATCCCACAGGCTCCCAAAGCAGTTGGGAAATTTAACAAATTGAAGGACATTATCTACTGTACACTGAAATCCTTTTATCTGCCACTGAAGGTATCCCCGCTGGGTCAAAAAGCAGTGTCTGTTTAACAGGTTAGATTTGTTGTGACAAACACCACATCTAAGTGAAGCTACAAGGAGAGTATAATTGTCAACAGCTGGAACTGGTGCTGAATCCTGGATTCAGCACTGGTTGGGAAAGGTCTGCTAGTATTTGTCCAGTTACCACTGGTGATGAAGACTTTATCACAGATCTTGCAGACCTGCCATGCCCAGGGCAGGCATTTTCATGAGCCAGCTCCTTGGGACACCAGCCTCAACATGAGGTGCCTTCACAACCCATAGCCCCACTCCTGGCAATGCTTGAGTGCTATATCCATCAGACAGGGAGAGAGGAGAGATTGACTGTAAACATCCAGGCACAAAGACAGAAGCTCCTTGAAAATCTGCCAACATTAGCAATACAGGGTAACAAAGCAGGCTAAATTCACTGTGCCTTAAGGATTATTATCTAGAACAGCAACAAAAGCAGAGTCACACCAAAAATCTCCTCCAGGCTACGCATTCAGTGATGTGGGAGCAAGTTTCACACTGCCCTTCTCTCACAGTCATGTCAGGGATCTCAGCCCCTTTAAGGGATTATGGCCATACTTTCGGCCACTGATACTACAATCACTAAAGAGTGCAAACCAAGGCAAATACAGCATGATTATTAGAAAACCCCGTTACAACAAAAAAACTGGCAGAAAGAAGAGAATTTAATGAAAGAGAAGTACATGGCCACTGAACTGGCATGTTCTAGCTTTAAAAGGAAAAGAAATAGCATCCAAAGCCCCTTCCAGATTTGCTGTTGGACCAAAAGAAAGGTTAGGTTTTCAAAGATAGATGGATAATCTACAGTCACATGTGCATTTTGGGATGGCACAGAAGCATATTTGTAAATGTGCTTTGAGCTGTAGAACAAGGAAGAGTAAAATAAAGGGTGAGAACAGAATCATATGCCAATGAGCAAAATGGATTTATTCAGCAGCCCATATGGTCTGATGGTTTAAAGTAGCTACAAGGTTGATTCAGGAATTAATCTTGGGATTGTTATAAACTGCAATGCAACACTCAACATCGTCCTACTGAGCTTCTGAGAACTCTGAAAAGTCTCACGTAATTCACATGGCAGCTGAAATATTTTAATTGCATTAAATGGTGCTCCTCTGACATCCGTCCTGTCTCCTTACTCCACTAGCAAGAATGAGTTACCAGGACTCAGCCTTGACTTTTCATCCCAGGTTCACCCTTTCCTAGGGTCCTTTCTGTGGAAAGAACAACCCAGCCAAGATCCACTCTCAGTCTTGTTCCTCAGGTGAGGGCATTCACTGTCTTGGGTACAGGAATTTTTAGCCACAACTTTTCTGGTCTTTGTGGCCTTTGGAACTCTTGCCTCCCAGGAGACGGACTTCAGCACCAAGCCACATCCAAGGAATGTTATGTCTGTTGGAGACTGACAATGGCAGAGGAAAAAATGCAAATGTCAAAGGGCCACCGGGCAAAAGAAGAGGAATTCAACTCCACAGTCCACTGGGGAGACATTCACCTGGGAGACAGGAATCCTGGCTCTTAGATGGTGCTTCTGGCACTGCTATGTACCCTCTAGATAGACTGTTTGAACTGAAACAGAAATGGACCTGTCCTGGAACAGAGTCCTCAGATCAACATCTCTGCTGTGCCACCAATCCTGTAAACCAACTCCAAATTATGGTTGTTTGACAAAATTTCAGCAGACAAAATTCAATATTTTTACTTTTAACTCTCTTTTTGGTTGAGAAACACACTTGTGATACAAGAATTTTCCATGGAAAAGACACTGATTTTTTAGTAACTCAGAAGTTTTCCTCTGGCTTCATTCAATCACAAAGTTTTCTCAAGAACTGATGGAAAAATGCTGAAAGTCACAACTTCTGCTGCAAAAGTCATTGCAGTGACAGCTACACAGATATTTCATGTTGTACTATTATCTTCCATACTGAAATTTTCCATTTCTGGTCAAAGGTGACTTATTTCTATAAACAGAAACATTTTCACACTTTAAATGCTTAAAATAAAATCCTTTTGCCTAAAAAGCCAGCCTGGAGAATTTAATCGTGAAAGCTGAATTCATCAGGGTCTTATCAATGCTTAAAAGGACTCTTTGTAATGAGGTTAAAAAACAGAAACCCAAACTTGTTACTGGCTCCCTAATTACAACACTGTTTTGAAAAGAGACATGCTAAAACAGGGAAGACCTCATAGGTCTTCAGTTTCTATATGCTAAAGGAGGGAAGAATATTGTTGGATATAAAGTAACTGTGAGCAGCATGACCTTGAAGAGCCAAAGAAACAATCCTTAAAATCCAGAAGGGATACATGTTAGGCAACATCCATGCTACTGCCCAGATGTCCCAGCCCCAAACACTTAGCAGAAAATGCTCTACCCTGTTAAGTGCTGGCTCCAGGGGATCCAGCACAGCACCTAACAGAGCTCTGACAATCCCTGGTGATAAGGTGACATCAGTTTTTCATGTACCAGGCAAAATGCTTGCAGGGAATGGCCTACCATGTCCTAACTATGGCACTTTGCAGAGTGTGGTGATGGAAGCACGTGTGATGTGACCTTGAGCTTTGCCCTGACAGACAGCACCTCAGTGAGCAGAGGCCAGTTCCAGCTCTGCAGGTATCTTCATTGCAATGCATTCCCATCCATTTAGGGTAACTAAAATCCAGTTTCCATTAAAATTAAGGGTATAAAATAGTAATGAATTTCAGAAGCTCTCAAGATGTACTGTGATGCAAAGACCAATACATAACAAT